TCCGACTTCCTCGTAATCCTTCTCCAAGGCGGCCAAATCCTCACGTGCTTCGGAAAATTCACCTTCTTCCATTCCTTCACCGACATACCAGTGTACGAAAGCACGTTTAGCATACATCAAATCGAATTTATGGTCCAAGCGAGCCCAAGCCTCAGCAATGGCAGTAGTGTTGGACAACATGCAAACGGCACGTTGTACTTTGGCGAGATCGCCACCAGGAACAACGGTCGGTGGTTGATAATTGATACCGACCTTGAATCCAGTTGGACACCAATCGACAAATTGAATGGTGCGTTTAGTTTTAATGGTAGCGATGGCGGCATTCACATCTTTAGGAACAACATCACCACGGTACAAGAGACAGCAGGCCATGTATTTGCCGTGACGTGGATCGCATTTAACCATTTGGTTATTTGGTTCGAAGCACGAATATGTGATTTCGGCGACGGTAAGTTGTTCGTGGTAAGCCTTTTCGGCTGAAATAACTGGAGCATAGGTAACCAAGGGGAAGTGAATACGAGGATAGGGAACCAAGTTGGTCTGGAATTCTGTCAGATCAACGTTGAGCGAACCGTCGAAACGTAGAGAAGCCGTGATTGAAGATACTACTTGAGCAATCAATCGATTCAAATTAGTGTAAGTGGGGCGCTCAATATCAAGATTACGACGGCAGATGTCATAGATGGCTTCATTATCGACCATGAATGCACAGTCGGAATGTTCCAAGGTAGTGTGAGTAGTCAAGATAGAATTGTATGGTTCGACAACTGCAGTCGAGACTTGAGGAGCGGGATATACGGAGAATTCCAATTTTGATTTTTTTCCATAGTCGACAGAAAGACGTTCTAAGAGCAAGGCGCCAAAACCAGAACCAGTTCCTCCACCAAATGAGTGGAACACCAAGAAACCTTGAAGTCCGGTACAGTTATCAGCGAGCTTGCGAATACGATCAAGGACAAGATCAACTATTTCTTTGCCGATGGTGTAATGACCACGAGCGTAATTATTGGCAGCGTCTTCCTTGCCGGTAATCAATTGTTCAGGATGGAAGAGTTGACGGTAAGTACCAGTACGAACTTCGTCTACGACGGTCGGTTCCAAATCAACGAACACCGTGCGAGGAACGTGTTTGCCGGCACCGGTTTCAGAGAAGAAAGTGTTGAATGAATCATCACCTCCAC